TCTGACTGCTCGAAGGCCAGAGGAAGCTCCCGCCACCGCCGCTGTGCTCGCCAGCGGTGAGGCTGACTTCTGACTGAGCCAGCGCTCCCCCCTGTGGGGACACACCGACACCAGGGGGCAGCTCCTGCATTGAGCATCTGCCCCCTGGTGGTCAGTGTGCGTCATAGTGACTGGTCATTCCACTGTTTGGTTGATTTGTACATTAGCCTTTTATTATATAGGATTGAGTTATTTAAAAATTTTCTTTTGAAAATAGTTCTTAAATGTATCTACCAGATCATCCTAAAATACATAAACAACCAAACCCTGACAAAATGGCAAGTTTAATTTCCCAATATTGTAACAGTTTTTACATAAAATCTATAATAATAAAAGCATAATATGCTAATAATAAAAGCATAATATGGACCTTACAGACAAAGCCAGGGCTGCAAGGGAAGCCCAGGTCCCAGGTGCCAGAGGGAAGCCGGTGCTGGCAGCCAGGGGAAGGAAGGTCTACTCTTACATGGTATTACATAATTGAATGACCAGGTTTGGAGCCATGACCTAATAGCTAACTTTTCAGATATGTGCAAAATTTTAGAATCAATTATACTTCTAGTAGTAAAAGGTAAGTATATTTGACAAGGATCTCAAAGGAGGAGATCTTTTAACCATCAAAATTCTCTTCTAATCTAGATTCACATCTTAGAAATATTAAACCTTATGAGAAGTCTATATTAAATATAAACAGTAAAATCTGATGTGATTAAAAACATAGTTCGCCCTGACCAGTTTGGCTCAGTGGATAGAGCATCGGCCTGCGGACTGAAAGGTCCCAGGTTCGATTCCGGCTAAAGGCATGTACCTTGGTTGCGGGCACATCCCCATTGGGGGGTGTGCAGGAGGCTGATCGATGTTTCTCTCTCATCAATGTTTCTAACTCTCTATTCCTCTCCCTTTCTCTCTGTGAAAAATCAATAAAATATATTTAAAAAAAGAAAATTCTAAAAACATAGTTCATCAGAGGGGGTGGGAGACGGGTGGAGGAAGGCACAGGGAGAGAAATGGGGGACATCTGTAATACTCTCAATAAAAATAAAACATAGTTCATAGAACTAAAAATTAAAAGGGATATTTACTCCCATGTAGGCATGTAAAATATAGATGAATTTGTATAAGCGTTTCAGAATTTATAAAGGGTCTTTAACTTTTATTAACTCACATTTTTTCATAATCACCCTATCAGGCAACAAATACTTCTCCCCTATTAATGAGGAAGCTAAAAGTAAAAATACTAGGTGAAGGTCACAAATCTAACAAAAAACAGGCTTTGATTTTGGTAGCTGATAACTTGAAATATCTAGTCCATGTACATACATATTTTAATAAAAATTCGCCAACCTTTTCGCATTTTAGTATCTTTATTTACAAAAGATGCTTATCTCCTTTAGCAACTAAAATAATGTGAAATTACTGAGAAGTTGTACACATAGTGGTCACTGGACTTGTCATTAAGTTACCTTAGAGGCTGATGACTTTAAAATAGGGGTGGGGAACCTTTTTTCTACCAAATAGATATTTATAATATCATTCTCGGGCCATACAAAATTATAAACTTAAAAGTCAGCCTGCTATATTTCATCAAACATTTAATTAACGCACCCCTAATGCCTTGGCAGAGCCAGATCAGATGAGGTTCTCCACCCCTGCTAAAAGCAAGTTCATAAATTCCTTGCTTAAAAGTAAAGCTCAGCCCTGGCTGGTTTGGCTCAGTGGATAGAGCATCAGCCTGAGGACTGAAGGGTCCCAGGTTTGATTCTGGTCAAGGGCACAGTGGGGGTGTGCAGGAGGCAGCCGATCCATGACTCTCTCTCATCATTGATGTTTCTATCTCTCTCTCTCCCTCTCTCTTACTCTCTGAAATCAATAAAAAAAAAAAAAAAAAAGTAAAGCTTAGACAGATGGATAAACAGCTATAACAGACAAAAGCATAACTATGCAAATTGTCGGGAGGGGGACCTAAGACATCTGAAATTCAGAACTGTAGTTTGAAAATCACTAATTTCATCCAAATCCCTCATTTTTCAGGTGAGGAAACTGAAGTCCAGAGGGGTTTCTTGAACTGCCCAAGGACACATCACTATTTAGTGATACAGCCGGGACTAAAACTGAGGTCCCCTGACTCCTGGTCCAGAATTCTTTCTACTATCCCACAAGGAACATACAAATAAAAGTTGATCATAATTAACTCACAAGACCTCCACAATGTGTTTGTCATAGTGAACTTTGTTGTGAAATACCTGCCTATGCTGACTCAGTTTAGCAGTGAAGAGCTGGGCTCTGGAGTTCAAATACAGGCTCTAACATTTACCATGTGACCTTGGGCAAGTCGCATCACCTCCCTGTCTCAGTTCCCTCATCTTTAAAGTAGAAATTAAAAATACTCTTCTCATAGTTTACATGAAATAATGTCTATAAAGCACTTAGGACAGTGCCTGTATATGGAAAGCTCTCAATTCATGATGATGATGATGATGAATAAGCAGAAGAATCATCATCCAACCAAAAGTATAGCTTCTTGAAAACATGTCACAAAGTATTATCATTAAACATGTATATTCTCCAAGAAAGAATGGTATGATTAGTAGTAGCTGTCTTTTAAAGATTCAGAAACAAATATGAAAAAAGTAAAATACTAGTAGACAGGATTCAGTCATAAAAAACCTCTACAGCATTTAAAATAGCAAAAGTGCACTTCGAGATTTTAAAATAATTTATATTTGTATTGTACTTACAATTTATAAAGTACATTCACATTTCAACTTATTGTCCCATGAATTCAACAAACACAGCAATTTTTTCAACTACTACATATGCCAGATAGCATGCAATTTACAGATTCATTATCCTCCTAACATTCAATAACCACTAGCTGTTATTAGAGGCAGTAGTATAATGTAAAAAAATAACCTGATATCAGTTCCAGAAAGAGCCTCATCAGTACCACCTATTAAGTGGGAATGACTTAATAGTTTGGATAAATAAATAAGATGTAGCATTTAGCACAACGAAAGGAACACCTCAAGTGCCCATGAAAATGTGGGTTCTCTCTTAGCAGTAGTAAGGAATTGTTTTGTGTAGAGAATATTTTGTAACCAGATCAAGAAAGCACCATTACTGTTACTTACAGTACGGTTGGTTAAAGAAAATAATTTTGGGTAGTGGTGCCTATTATACTCTATGTGCTGTTTCGCAAATTAAAATTTACAACAATTTTTGCAGATATAGCGTCAGTCTTTACTGGAGGTAGTAAGTAGACAAGTTGAAACAAAACCACTTAAATATAAAATATGTGTAACACATGACAATTTATATAATTCTCATCTGAGGCCTCCGACTACCCTGTGAGGAGGTAAGATTAGGTACTAATTCCATTTCACTGATGAGGTAACTGAGCCTCAGAGAAGTAAACAGTTAAAATCACAAAGAGAAATTATAGCAGAAAAGGACTAAACCTTAGTTTTCAGAATTAGTTTTAAGTGCTCTTTTGAACCCATCCACAATGCATTTCAGAACATTAGTATCTTTTCCAGATCCATTATTCAATACCCTTAAGAGTAGAGCAAGTGACCACTGGCCGGTGTGGCTCAGTTGGTTGGGTGTCGTCCCATGCATCAGGAGGTTGCCGGTTCAATTCTGGTCAAGGGCACATGCCCAGGTTGGGGGTTCTATCCGGGTGTGCAGGAGTGCAGGAGGCAGCCAATAGATGTTGCACTCTCACATTAATGTTTCTCTCTCTTCTCTCTCCCTCTCCCTTCTTCTCTCTCTAAAAATCAATAGCTATTCTAAAAAAAAAAAAAAAGGACTATAGAGATGGTGATTATTATGTCACTACACCCAACACACCACATGAGTTACTTCATTTATCCATCAGAGAAATGAGGGCTCAAGCAAAGTGTGTCTCTCAATAAAATATTGTATTCACTATAGTATAAATTCAAATCCTATATAATAAAAGGCTAATATGCAAATTGTCCCCTCTACCGGGGGCTTGACTGGGAGTTTGACCAGGGGGCAGAGCCAGCCGGCCAACTGCCCATGGTCCCTTCCCCCAGCTGGCCCTGCCCCTGATTGCCCCCACCCCCACCCCAATCAGGGACAGGGCTGGCCGGCCAACCTCCTGCATCCCCTCCCCCTGGCTGGCCCAGTCCGATTGGACCAATGGGGGCGGGCAAGCCAGACCCCACCCATGCACGAATTCGTGCACCAGGCCTCTATTAATATAATAATGCATTTGGCTTACTATTTAAGTGAACTTTAAGCAAAATTTTTCTTTAACATTCTAATATATAAAAAGCAGATTTCTGACTGATTTCACTATTCAACCTCACTGTAAAAATAAAAACAGGCATTATTTTCAACAACAAAACTCAATCTTCTGATTTAACTGACATGGCCTAACTCTTTGCAACCTCCCACACCAAAGATCACTTTTTTAGAGAGAACCAAAAATCAAGCTGCCCAAGATTTAAGGAGAAAAGCAAAATCTTTAAATTACCAGTGGCTTAAATGGACAGGTCACTTGCTAGTCTTATTCTAGATATCTCATCTATTATTTAAGCTCATAAGCAATAACTTTGTCACTACTTAAAAGCAAGTACATTTCTAAGACTGCAATATAGTTAATCCTCCTAAAATTACATATTACAATTTTCAACAAACCTAAACGTATAGAAACCATATTATTATGTGGTTCCAATTGGGGCATTTTTTATAGTAAAAGGAACTCTATTAATAACTATGCTGGGACAAATGGGCTCAAACATGACTGTCCCAGAAAAAGTGGGGTATAAGTCACCCTACATAAGAGCAACTATTTTGAATTGCATGTAATGACTTGTTCTCTGTATATGCTTAATTCATGAGCTTTAAGTTTTGTTCCAGATCTAATGATTATCTTCAACCTTGAAACGAAGGTCACCATTTTACAGACATTGGGCCACAGTTAAGTTTTATTTTCAAATAAACATTTGCTTGAAGAAAAAAACAGATCTACATATTTCAAAGAAAATAATCTTGCAAAATATCACCAAATTTCAGACTTATCTCTTTAAAAGTTCTGAATACTTATAAACTGATAACCACAGAACTACTTCTAAGATGGCCCAATGCTCAAATGTTAAAAAAAAAAAAAGACACTGTCTTTCAAACGAAAAACACTTCAAGAATAAAAGTGTTGAATAGTTTTTGCTAAAAACTAACCAAAATGATAAAAGATAAGAGGAAACCATGGTCACAACATAGTACAATAATGATTAAAGGAAACTCCGGTTAGTACTGTTATGGCTCTCCAAATGAATCTGGCACTAGCTGTACAACCTAGCAGACAAAAGAATGCTTTGTTTTAATTTGTCAAGCTGTAAATAACTACTAACAGATCCATGCTTTGAACTAGAGTACTTTAATGAAAGGCATTATTTGAATATAATTATGATTCCCTAAGGCAGCGATTTTCAACCTTTTTCATCTAGTGGCACACATAAACTAATTACTAAAATACTGTGACACACCAAAAAATACATTGCATTTTTGCTGAGCTGACAAAAAAAATAGGTATAATTTTGATTCATTCACACCAGATAGCTATTATTGTGTTGGCTGTTGTCATTTTTTTATTTGACAATCTAAGGGGGAAAGAGGTCAGTGCCCCTGACTAAAGAGTCAGGTATTGCGTATTTTAAAAATTCTTGTGGCACACCTGTGTGCCTGCGGCAGGCAGCACACCCATTGAAAATCGCTGCCCTAAGGCAATAGGTGTTCCAAGAGTTGGCTTCTCTGATTTAAACTCAACCAAATCACAAAGTGGAAGGGGTCTCAGAGTCTAGAGTTCTTGACCTTCTGCTGTCCAATAAGGCAGCCACTCACCACATGGGGCTATTTGTATTTTAATTCATGTAAAATTAACAAGTTAAGTTCCTCAGCACCCTAGTCACATCTCCAGTGTGTAAGAGCCACCTGTGTCTAGTGGGTGCCACAGATCATTACAGAGTATTTCCATCGTGGCAGAAAGTGAGGCTCTAGAGTCTCTAGAGCTAGGCTGCTCTGGATCTTTGCTTGAACATTCCCAGAGGGCAGGAACTTGCAATAGCACAATAACAGGCATTCTGCTTTTGCAAGTGCGGTTAGAAACGTCTCCTCACCCTCAGTCAAATCCCGCTTCTCTGGAACATCCACTACACCTCCCCCAAATTCCGTCTATTTGGTCTTCACGTAAACCTTTGCAGAGCTAACTTCATCCCACTTAAAAAGGTCTGCCGCTCACATAGACAGCCCCGAGGTCCTCCCCATCAACGATCCACTTTCCAGGGAAATAGCTCAAAGCTTCCACCAGCCTCATGCTGCTAAACGAATTTACCCACGTGCACATGAATAAGGGATGTGCAGGGCGGGCTCTCGGTGTCAGTGCTGCATCCCACCGTCCCTGCAAACCCACCCCGTGGCTTGTCAGACCACGTGTCTTGATTTTCAATTTAAAAAAACAAGCTCACAGTCACTCTGAATTATCTGAAAACGCGGAGACGGAAATTAATTACACTTCACGTGTAACTGACCAGTGCCTGGTGCTGTTCTAAGCAATTTCACGTGGATCACCGCGTACAGTCCTCACGATGCCGAGCTACCCTGTTTCTGTCCCCATTTCACGGGCCAGAAACACCCAAAGACATGCGACAAGAGTTCCCTGGGGGTCACAGCTGGGGCTTCACCCCACAGAGAAGAGCCCCTCTTTTCCTTTTTTTTTTTTTCGGATGTTACACTTCTAACGCCACCTAACTCTTCTTCCATCCCGCTCATAAAGCAAAAAATCCCTTCTTTACGGATTCCTCCTCCCAAAACACTGCCTAGGTGACCCGAGGAGGTGCTGCTTCCACCCCAGCACACCCCGCTCCGCTCGCCGCGCGCTCCCCTCGCCCCACGCCCACCCGCCCGCCCGCGGGGAGGAGCCAAGAGCCAGCTGCACACCCGCGGGAGAACCCGGGCCGCGCCGGGGGGCCTCTCCCTCTCCCTCTCCCCAGCGTCCTCCCTCACCCTCCAGGGCGGCCGCCCTCGGGCAGAGGCCAGGGCGGAGCTGGCGTCGCGGCCCCGACACTGGGGCTCGCAGCGTCGAGTCCACCTCTCTATCGTCGTACCCCCGAGTTCTCGAGTCTGTCGACTCATCAGCTCGCCGCGCACTGCACCCCCATGCCACCAA